ATTTTTTTTCTTTCCACAACAAATTTACAACAAAAACACTACAATTAATGCCGTAGTTAACTTTTCCAATTTCAAAAAGTGTAGTGCTAACTTGACACACGTAAGTCCATCTGTCTGTCTGCCTCTTTGAACGCAATTTAGTCCCGCACCTTTCGAAATATCTGACTGAAATTTGGTAAGTGAGAGTATATTTATAATATATTAATCATTTGTCGGAACCGTCAAAATCGGTCCACTATAACTTATGGCTCCCATAAAACTGCTTGTTCGTTTTAGTTCTTGGCCCTGGTTAACCATTCTGGAGAAATGCTCATATCGGACACCTAGATCTAAAGTGAGCTAACTCAAAATTCATAGAGGGAAATGTAACTGCTTGTGGATCGTACAGATTCACCGCAATTAATACAAAAACAGGTATAACAATAGATTTTTTTAATTAATGTATATAATCGTGAAGAAAAATTGGATGTAAGTCCTATGAATTGATTTATGCAAAAAAAATCTCCCAAACTTTTTTTTTTGGTTGATTGCACTTGTGCGATATGTTCTTTAGTTGTGTCTCACTTTAATTGATTTTAAGTACTAAACAAATTACAACTTTCAAGTACTTAGTTTTGTTAAAAATTTTAGGATATTTCTGAGCTCGCGGTCTCTCGGGTCGGGGCGCTCTCGGATCGGGGCCCCGTGTCATTTTGCCAGCCATGCCGCCCTATAGTTACGCCTCTGCCTAATGTACATATACATATTTGAATTAATTAAAAATTTCTAAATAAAACTTACCTGTTTTGGCTTGCTCAATGCTCCTTGTTATGCCTAGATCTCCATTGGAACGAAAAGAACTTTTATCACACAAACATATAACTCTTTAACGCCAACGGTAATGACTTGTGTAAACATTTTATAAAATAGTATTATTTTTAAGAAATTTCATAAATGCACTTTTTATATTAACGGTCATTTTGTATTAAAATTTTTTAGTTTATAAGAGTGGAAATGTTTATCTTTAAAATGGTCAAACTCTTGTTTCAGTTATTTTAGTGTTGGCC